TCAGGATAATAATAGACTGCTTAATGCAAATTTTGATTTTTTCTGCCTAGCTTTTTGAAACAGTAACTTTCACAAAATCTAAATGTGAGCATGGAGAAGAAAAGTAAGAACATTGCTCTGTGATTGTAAACCATCACAGTCAAGGTTATTAGGGTGAGAAGTTTTTGTATAGGAAGAGTAGCACATTTTGCTGCCTATCTAGTAATATCAATGATTAAGGAAAAAATAAAATGTTATATGTGTAAGTGATGTTTTATCCTAGTAGTCAAAGGAACGAATACTTATTTTTAAGTATAAATTTAAAAATGGAGCAAATACCATCTTACCTATAAATAGATGGCTGAATTTAAGAAAATAACAATGCAAATGTTCCCAGCACTTCTAACAATACCCAACATGTAACAGGAATCTAAAAATACTTGTTGAATAAATGAATTGATAATCTGTTATATCCATTTACTTGCTTCCTTTCCAATTCTTCTCTATTTAACAAGATAAATGAATTATTTCAGAATTATTACAGAATAAACTATTTGTATTAAATATCCTCTTATGAAAAAATATATGTAGTTTTGGTTAGGTACTCATGCTAACAGTGTTAATGTTTTATCAATGCTAGGAGTGTTTTCTTGCTCTTTTAAAATTATTGTTTAGACTTTATCGATGGACCCTTTTTAAACACAAATCTTTTACTAATTAGCATATCTTAAATAAAAGTGTATTTGTAGAATAACATTTTTTGTAGGTTAATGGTATGCTCCTTCAAGAGAAATGTTCTTGCACAGTCTGGCTCCTTGAGATACTAGAGCTTGCTCATCTGAAATGAATTAATTCTTCAACATTTCAGAGTTTTACTTACTGGCCATGAAATGTAAATAAACAAATGGTTCCTTCATTCCTCAAGAGAGTTTGGGTATCTCACTTGGCTCCAGGGGAGTCATAGTTAGTATTGAGATATAGTCTAGCTGCCATTGGAATCCTGAGAAGAGAAAGGGCTGACTAACTGAAAGTACTAAGGCTAAAATTCTTATGAACTCAAAAAAAAACAAAGAACAAATAAAAATATTCTCCAAGTAACTTCAACTCTCACAAGTTATAGCTAATTTTAAAATAGCATTAGTAAACAGAAAAAAATTAGTCTCACTAAATCTCATCAAAATTCGGGGCCTTCATGGTTACTTTTATTTTATTAAAAAAAATTTAGTACTCCTTTAGAAAAGAAATCAGTGCTAATATTGTATGGCATGACCTTTTCAGACATTGGAATGAACTTTTTTCTTTGGTTTAGAACTAATCACTAAGTAAAACACCAGATATTGGCATCTTTTGGATGAAAAAAAAACCCTTTGTAATGTAGAATAAATAATTTTGCATCCTCCTGGCATTGATTTGAAACTTCTAAAGGGGTAAATCTTGCTTTGCAAAATCAACGACCTCATGATTCACTATTTGGATCTATTCAAAAAGTAAAGTTAAGTTGTTTCACAGAATTATAAACAACTATCTTTTAATTCTCCTCTCTTTGAGGACACTGGGCAATATAAATGCCTGAATAGAACAAATACAGAAAGAAATTTGCAAACTTTTATTTTGCAGTGTTTCATATATCAAAACGTTTTTATTTCACAAATATGTTATATTTTAATGTCTTTAAATGAATAAATACCTTATAGTAGTCTTTTTTACAAAGGCAGTTTTATGTTAGGCTATGAATAGTAACAAAGCAATGCAAGTCAAGATACAAAATTTATTTGCTAATGAGAAAGGAAAAAATAATTTAAATTATATTGTTGAAAGAGCAGGAGATTTGTAAATAACAAAAAAATTAAAAGAAAGACTATAGGGAAATAAATAGTAATTTAAAGGTTAGAAATATAAATGAATAATATAAAGACATTAAATCTGTCTAGTTCTATATCAAAAGCAGTTCAGGTTTAATTTGTGTGGTTATTCTTATCATTGATGTGACTACAGTAGTACTAAACCTCAGGTGTATTTCTTTTGTTAGTGAATTTCCTTAAATGATTATTGGTGCTAATCTAGCCATCTCTACTAACTGTACTTTATTTCCATCAATATAATCTTAACATCACCATTACAAAAAGTTTTTGTAACCATCACTTCCAAAACTTATTTGTAGCTACTAGATGTGCATGCATATAGTATTATGTAACTTTGTTGAGATAAAGTTTTAAAATGTGCATGTTAAGTCACAGTACATGGTTGGAATTCTGTTTATTGTTTATATGTGAATGAATGAATTTAACTGAAGATATTCTTTTAAAGAATGTACATTTTATAATAATGCTAATTAAAGCAATGACAAAGCTATGGGCTCTGTTTGGAATTTTAGTTTCATAAAATATACATAAGCTACCATATTTCAGTACTAAAGACTGAATAATACAACTAAAATATATTTTGTTAATGTGGGATGAATTTTGGGGCATGATAGCATATTTGTAGCATAGCAAAAGATATTGCTAAGAAAAACTTTCTAAGTTTTCTCAAGTAGCAACACAGGCAATGAAATTATTTATATGGAGGCTTTATTTGTTTTGTGGAGATACACCACAATAATATGAAAACTCTCGGGCAAAGAATAAAATTGTTTAGGAAGATACAATGTTTTAAGACTTCTATTATATTTTGTAACAGATGAAACAATCTATG